TGCAGGGAAGGGATGTGCTCATCACCTCCTTGTCCTGCTCTCAGGACACCTCCCGACCCCACACCCGTCCCCGCGCTCACCGCAGAGCTCGCCCTCGTCAGAGCCATCGCCGCAGTCGTCGGAGCCGTCGCAGAGCTTCTCAGGGGGGAGGCAGATGGAGGTGTTGTTGGCACAGGTGTGTGAGGGGGGTTTGCACACCAGCGACTCGCAGTTCTCCTCATCAGAGTTGTCCTCGCAGTCACTGTCCCCATCGCAGACCCAGGCCTTGCTGATGCAGCGGGCTGATGGGGAGGAGGGCGAGGAGAGGGCAGAGCAGACCCAGAGGAGATGTTATTCCAGGTATTTGGGGCGCCCTGTAGCCCGTGTCCCTCCACCCCTATCCCTGACGTGCCAAGGCAGGTTCCAGCCCTTCCACATGTCAGAGGGGCAGAAGGGATCCAAGGATGATGCCACTCATCGACATCATGGTTTATGGGTATGGTGCATGTATTTTCCCATTTTTCCAGCACTAAGGACAGTTCAGCACCTCCCGGGTGGGTTCCTCCCTCTCCCCTGCTCTCACCTGAGTCCTTGCAGCCAAACTTGACGTTGGGGTCGCAGACGTGGGTGACCCCCTCGCAGTTCTTCTCATCGCTGGAGTCCATGCAGTCTGTGTCGCCGTCGCAGCGCCAGCGCATGGGGATGCAGAGCCCGTCCAGCCGGTCACTCGAACGCATCCGTGTGCCAGCCCCCGGGAGGGCGCGTGGCTGCGAGGAGGACAGCCGCTCACTGCCTGTGCCCGGAGGAGCTGGGGGGCTCAGGGGCTGGGGAGGACTGGGCACTCAGCCAGCAAGGAAAGGGCCAGGGGCACCCAAAGATGCATGAGGGGCATGTGAGCACTCGGGATGGGCAGAAGGTGCAGAAACCCCTGCCCGGAAGCAGGAGGCTCTGCTTGGGAAGGGGTTTGGCTCTTCAGGTGACACCTGGGGTGAGGAGGTCCCTCTCCCGCTCCCCTCTGCGTGCCAAGGCTCACCCTGGTTGGTGCAGTTGGCGTGGGTCTCGTCGCTGTAGTCCCCGCAGTCGTTGTCCCCGTCGCAGGTCCAGTGCACAGGGATGCAGCGCCCACTGTTGCACTTGAACTGGTTGCTGGAGCAGGAGTG